GCCACCTGTCATTTAACTGACGGAAGGACTATTTTGGTACCGAAAATGAAAGTTTAAGGATAAATTTGGTACTTTTTAAAGGTGAGGGACAATTTTGGTGCCAAAGTGAAAAGTTGAGGGACCAAAATGGTACTTAAACCTTTATTTTATAACTAGACATTTCGAACGGTTTAAAAATAAATTACAAACCAAACTAATTATATCGATTTAAAAATTTTATAATTCAAACCAATTCAATTTTATATTCATTTGGATCACTTTAGGTCGGATTAATCGGATTGGATCAGATATAAACACTCCTAGTACATATTGCGAGTTGTTGAAAATTTTAAATATTAAATGTTAATTTTAATTATTTAATTTTTTAGTTTTATATCATTTTTAATTTTTAATTATTTTAAATATTTTTTAATTCTACAACATAAAAACTATACTTTTTTATGTTTTGTTAATTAATTTATTATACTTATTTAATTTTTGAATTTATAAATTTAAAAATTAAAAATATGTATGTATTATAATTTTAAAAATTAAAAATATATTTATTTAGGCATATTTAATGAATTCCTTAGTGTAAGAATAAAAAAATGTATTTTTTAAAATTAAAAAAATATATATAAAAAATTAAAATATGAAAACTATATAAAACCTTAAAATTAAGGATTAAAATTTACATTTAATTAATTTTAAATGAGGTAGATGACATGTCTACATCTTTTAATTTTTTTCTTCCACGCAAAGCATACACTCAAAGGCCGCGACATGTTATGACCAACAAAAAAAAATATTATTATGTCTATTAAAATCTTAAAATAATATGTTTAAAAATATTATTTTTATGTAATTTGATTGTTAAAAATAATTAGTAATTATAATTTTTTTTGAACAAAGTGTCATGGGTGGGATTCAAAACTCAAACCTTACCAGGAGAGGGAAACTACACCTTTAAAGTGACTCGAAGGTCACTTGACTCAAAGGATTATGTGCAATTAGTAATTATAATTATTATTTAATAATTAATAAAAATTAATAGTTATTAATTAATAAATTAAAATTAATTGATAAATTAATAATTTAAAGATACGATTTAAGAAAAAAAATAAAAATTTAATGATTTTAACCATATTAAAAAAAGTAGTAATAACAACACCTCCAAAAGTGGCTCTTATATTTAATAATTACTGAAAAAATATAATACAAGCAAATTACATGTAAAGTAGTTTTAGAATTTAAT